ATTGAAAGTTCAAATAAATCATTGGTCACCGAAAAACTATCAGGAATTAGAACGGATAAACATTGAAGAATGGAATAAAATCCCAGAAAAGACTTGTTCAAATCTCAACAAAAACTTTAGAAAACAATTGCAGCAAGTTATAAAAATGAGAGGCCATGCTTTTGATTATTAATATTGTGAAAATTGTTCAATTCTTTCTATTTTTCATACTGAACGAATAATTTTGTCTTTTTCCTATTTTGCATAATTCACCTGTTGAATTTGGTGTAGCTAGCCTATTGCTCTGAAAATTAAGTTTTATTTTCCTTTTTTGTGCTTATTAACATATAAAAAAACTGGCCTTAGATTCTCAGAAATGGATAAAAATATTCAAAATTGATTGGTGTATGAATAATTCCATTGTTGAATATATATATATATATATATATATATATATATAATAATAATATGCTGGGCCTCAAACTCACACCTGACCTGAAGAGGAACTTGTACATATGATCCATTGTTAAGGATGCAAGTGAAATGGTCAACTCTCTGTACCACTCCAGTAAGTATCTGACTCCTCCTGCTATCCCCTACTTTTACAAGAACCAGATCAGGCCAAAAGTGAAGTATTGTTGTCATATTTGGGTGAGAACTGGCCAGGCCTCACTCTTCAGCCTTGATAGAGTCCAAAAGCATCTGTGAGCACTTGTTGGTGATAAATTATTCTCCACTCTTCAACCTCTCTCCCACAGGTGGTATGTGGCAAGCCTTTAGCTACTCTACTGCTACTTCCACAGAAAGTGCTCAGATAAACTACATTCCCTAGTCCCGCTGAGGCAACTCTTCATCATGAAATCTTGTAAATATACAAGATCACCCTGGTTTTCACCAACCATCTAATGACTCCCCACACATTGTGTCTCCATTCTCATACATGTCAGTGTGCACCGAAAAATAGGAAAGACCTGCTGCACAAGGAAAAATAGGTGAAAACAAATGTCACATCACGTCATGAAATGATAACTTGAATGCTGTTTCTAATAATGCAAAATAGGTGTTCTATTCACTTTGCTTGCTTTATTTAGGTGACACCTGGGAACAAAATCTGGCATGTCAGTCTAACAGCTCAGCTCTTCATCACTATCAACTTTCTGCCAATCTACACATCACAACATCTTGTTGGCCATACAAAAAATAACATTGGAAGTGTATAAAGGACAACTGTCCCTGGTCAAAGGCAGACGAAAATTGGCTCCCTCAATCACAAGCATGATTGCTAATATAGACCAGCAACCAGAAATCATTAATGCCCAGTTTATTGCTTGACCTCAAAACCCCTCATCCACTCATTTACTCTTCCCTTCAGTCAAGTGGATGCAACTTAGAAAACTTCAAGCATTCCATCCACTGGCTATAAAACTGAAACACTTGAGATTGAGATAAATCACACTTTCTTCTTCTACACAGATGTCCCAATCTTATCCCAATCATCGTATCACATGGTTTGATCTCATAGTCTAGACTTGCAAGACACCAGCCATTTGCACTATGTCTAAAGTTGCAAACAAATTGAATAATAACAAATTAAATAAAAGAAAAAAACTTCTTTTGAATGAATCCTTTCATTTGTTGATTTTATTACACTTTTTTATCCATGTTTTTTTGTTCCAATTTCCCACAATATCAAAATCAATAAACATCATTCAAATAACATGATAAAAATCAAACAAAAACACTTGTCAAAAATTTCATGCAATCAGAATCAGATTTGATCTAAAAACTTTAAACATACTTTGAAGTTGCAATCAACAAGAGGTATGAAGTAGAAAGAAAAGTCAATATATAGAGGATTAGGAATAAAAACTCTTATTAGTTGTCAGGGACTTTGATGGCTAGTAGTGTGTAGACATTACTACATGACATAACAAGCTCCTGTGGTACTTGGTGTGAGTTTGCATTTACTTTAAAATAATTTCTTTGTGCTGAATATACATTTGAAGGCTGAAGAATAAGTCTGCTGAAAAACAGGATTAAAAATAAAAAGTTATTAAAAAAATTCATGTAAATACTTCATATTAAGACCTCAAACAACCTTTTTTTTAAATCTTAGAAACCATCTTGAAATTAAATGTTTGCTAAAGTTTCAATTTTCTTTTTTTTTTGCTCTCCTTATTTTATTTTGTTTTTTTTTGTTATTTTTTTTTGTTTTTTTTGTTATTTTTTTTTTGCAAGGTTCAATCAAAAAATAAGAAACAAAACAGGTTATATACAGCTTAATTTCTGCTCATCAATCTAGACAATGTTTTTTTATGTCTATATCAGTCTGATAAAAGCACTTCAAAGATTCTCTTGACGACACCAATTATTGGAATAGCTGACATCTATATGAAAGGTCTTCCCCTAAATAATGAAAGGCTGGGGTTTATAAGAAAAACAAAAGGAAATTCACTTTTTCTTTTTTTACCACACTTCTTGCCATTTTTCATTGTCCTTCTCAGATTTTCAACTTTGTGATTTGGTTGAAGTATTAAAAAAGCTTCCTCTTTGATTAATTCTATGAATTTGAAACTTCTCAAGGGAGATTCAAATGATTATGACAGCTATCACCAGAACATACCTGAGCTTTCTTGAGTCATGATGAATGACTGTACTTACAATAAGTCTCCATGCCTTGAACATCTACTGGGACTCAGTCTCACTACAGACTTCAAGTGGAAATTATATATACTGTATATCAGGGGTCAGCAACCTTTTGCTAACTACATAACAACTTAGGCATTTAAAATCATTCAGTGTGCTAACAGCATACGTATTTTTATACAAGTCAAGATCAATATACCTGTTCTGCAATGTATTCTGTATAGTAATATATAGTATATATACTTATTTGAAACAGCTAAATATCTTCTTTGTGTTGTAGTAGTTATTGGTTTGAATTTTGTGATGTCATTTGCAGCTGCATGCCATTAGAAATTGCTTGGCATGCCACAGGTTGCCGACCCCTGCTCTAGGGCACTATTTCAAAAGGGATAATATTTAACATATATTATTGACTGGATTAATGGAGTAAGTTTTGTAAGCCTTGACTGGGAACTGTCTAATATGACATCATGTGCATATGACGTGTGACATGAGGTTTCTTTCTTTCTTTCTTCCCCTTCCGTTTTCTTCATTTTTCTTTCTCTGTTTCATTTATGTTTCTGTATTTCTTTCTTTCTTTCTCAAGTTCCTTCTTTCATCTTTGTCTCACTATCATGCTGACAGCTTTTTCTCCTGCTCAATCTCTTTTTTAAATTTCTATTGGTCCATGAAAATATATTTTATTGTTATATGTTATTTTTATAGATACACTTATTTAGGTAAATGCTTGGTTTATAAAAAAATTAAATGTATAGGGAACTGATGATCTATGACAGGGGTCGACAACCTCTTGAATCCTATGTGCTGACTTAGAGTTTTAAAATCATTCAGTGTGCCAACAGCATACGTATTTTTATACAAGTCAATATACCTATTCTACAATATATTTTATATTGTAATATATACAATAATATGTAAACAAATATATGGATATAGATCCGACAGTATGAAGAAAAATATATACAAAAAAAAACAAAAAATCCTTTTATACAATTTATACTGTTTTAATGTTAATATGTCAACGTCGGACAATGAAGATGGTTTATTAGACCGAAACATCCGACATTGACATATTGACATTAAAACAGTATAAATTGTATAAAAGGATTTTTGTTTGTTTTTTTCCGTATGTATTTTTCTTTATACAATAATATGTAAACCACATTAATAGAAATAAACTGTTTTTAAAAGATTTTTTTAAAGTTTTTATTAATGGAATTCCAGCAAGTGAGAAATTTTGAAAAAGCTAAATATCTTCTTTGCGTTGTAGTAGTTATTGGTCCGGAATTCATGATGTCATTTCTAGCTACGAGCTATTGGAAATTGTTGCTGACCCCTGCTGTACATCACTAAAGATGCTGGGAAAATGGTTTGCACCTAGTACCACTCCAAAAAGTATTAGACTTCTCCTGCCATGCTCTCTTTACAAATGCCAGATTAGACCAAAAATGCAGAACTGCTGCCATGCCTGGCCAGGAGCTGTCCAATACCCACTTTCCAGCCTTGACAGTTAAAAAAAAAAAAAAAAAAAAAATATTTGCAAGGTCTTGTTGGTGACAAACTGTTTTTCCACCCTTTCCCACAGATGAAAGATTTCAAGCCTCTCACTACTCAACTAATATTTTCATAGATGATATTCAAATAATTTACATTCCTTAATTTCACCAATCGGGACCTTCATGGCTACAACAAACAATGTCACTTATAATAATCAGCTATTTAAAATTTTTATCTTTAGGTACACAAGTTCCCTGAAATTCTCAAATCTAAATTTATTTTGAAACCAAAAATGTTCTAAATGTGAAAATAGAGAATGCTAATGTGCCTCATTAAGTCAGTATCTAAAATGAAAAATATTTTGTGTTTACAATGTTCTAATTTTGAATTTATTTTGCCAGAAAGTTTTGCTTTTTCACTTTGCCTTTTGGGTTTACCTTTTTCTTTGTGTTAAGACAAATTCCTGTTCACTATTTAACCAGATGAATATCTCTTCAAAGAATCTTTTAAAGGTGTTTTATCAAAATAAGAACTTCATTGACTTTTCTTCTGTTAAACGTAGTTTGAAAATACAAATTTAGCAAATAAATAATGAAAGTTTTACTTTGTAATGAAAGCTGAATTTGTTGATAGATAAAACAAATTAGTGTTTGAAGTTTCTGATCAAGATATTTTGAGTGAATAAGTTTATCTGGAAATGTTATTAATCAAATATTAGACTTTACGTAAACAGAAAATTTTGAAAATTTAATTTCTAAAAGATGAGGGAAATTTCTTTTAAATAAAAGGCAGCAATTATTTAAAGGAAAATTTTATTCAGTTCTTTATTTTGTCAAAATTGTTTTCAAGATAATTACTATTATTTTTTTTTTCTGCAGGGAAAATACATGGACATAGAATTTGATTTCAAAGGCGACCCAATTGGGGGTGTCATAACAAATTGTAAGTAGATACCAGGCCAAATAATTATTTTGAATTAATTTTTAATTTTAAGACTTAACTTTTCATTTTGATACCAATATTTTTCTCTTTCTTTTATTCTCTCACTTCCCCTCTCTCTCTTTCTTTTATTCTCTCACTTCCTCTCTCTCTTTCTTTTATTCTCTCACTTCCTCTCTCTCTTTCTTTTATTCTGTCTCACTTCCTCTCTCTCTCTTTCTTTTATTCTCTCACTTCCCTCTCTCTCTTTCTTTTATTCTGTCTCACTTCCCTTCTCTTTTATTCTCTCTCACTTCCCTTCTCTTTTATTCTCTCTCACTTCCCTTCTCTTTTATTCTCTCTCACTTCCCCTCTCTTTTATTCTCTCACTTCCCCTCTCTCTTTTATTCTCTCTCACTTCCCCTCTCTCTTTTATTCACTCTCACTTCCCCTCTCTCTTTTATTTGCTCTCACTTTCCCTTTCTCTCTTTTATTCTCTCTCACTTTCCCTTTCTCTCTTTTATTCTCTCTCACTTTCCCTTTCTCTCTTTTATTCTCTCTCACTTTCCTTTCTCTCTTTTATTCTCTCTCACTTCCCCTTTCTCTCTTTTATTCTCTCTCACTTCTCCTTTCTCTCTTTTATTCTCTCTCACTTTCCCTTTCTCTCTTTCTTTTCTTCTCCCTTATTTCCTCTCTCTCACACCCTATTTTCCTTTGGTTTTCACAGTCTGCATTTTTTTGTAATCTTTCTTCTCATTCTCCCCTCTATCTTTATTCCTCTCACTCTTTCTTTCATCTGAATTCTCATTCTATTCCTCTTTCGTATTATCACTGTTTTTATTCTCAATCTCCTTGCCAAATATATTGATTTATTTATTTTAGTCTTTTCAGTTCTAATGTTTAGTATTTACTATTTAAAAGAAAGTTTATTAGTTTTAAGTTCTTAGTTATTTAGTAGTTTTAAGTTCTTAGTTGTTTAGTATGTGGAGTTGTGATGTGGTTGTATACAAAGCTATAGGAATTTGTTTTCCTGTCTACACTTGGAAATGAGCCCTGATCTTTGGTATAGAAGTGTATGTTGTTCTGGAAAGATGATTATTACTATTTCTCTTCTATGCAAAGTTTGCCTTGTTTTTAAGGTGGTGTTGTAAGCTGATGCTGTTTTTATTACAATACCAATTTTGCCTAGGACAGAAAAAAAGAAAAATAATAAAATAAAAATAATAGCATAAACAAACTCAAGGTTGGGTCTATGAACAATCTAAAAAAATTAGCCCTAAACAAAACAAAACAAAACTTTCCCGTCATGCTCCTTCAATAATGGTCTTGTAACACATACATACAGTGCTGTTCGATAAAAGTGACTCACCTTTTCCTTTGAATTTAGCTCAACTTTTGTTTCATCAGAGAAGAGAACATTCTTCCAGTCTTCTACGGTGAAATTTTTGTAATAGTGAGCCCATTCAAATCTCTTGGCTTTGTTGGCTTTGCTTATTAGCGGCTTAAACTTTTGTGTACAAGATCTGTAGCCTTGTTCTAACAAGATTTGTAACCTTATTCTGACGGACTGTTGAAGAGGCAAGACTAACACCTTGCTCTTCACTTAGACTGGCTGCAAATTCTTGGCTAGTTATAGTCCTATTCTTCACAACTTCTCTCTTGATTACCCAGCCAGTTCTATCATCAATCTTTTTCTTTCATCCCCTTGTTTCCTTCCTTGGAGCAGGAGTGGCATCATTATGTGCCATAAGCACTCAAGAGACAGTTGATTGCAAGGTTATAGCAATTTCTTCAATTTCTCTCGTAGACTTGCCTGCTTTTGAGAGGGCAATAATAGATACCTTAAGTGGTTCTGATGCGTGTTTGTACCCTTTCATCTGGTTAGTGACATGAATGGCTATTTCGAGCTGTTTTTATACTGTATGAGGCTTTCTGGAATATTCTGGAATACTCTAGATTTAATTTAAGCTGTTCTAGCATTCTCTAGAATATTGTTCTGAGTGTATTGTGAAATAGTTTTCAATATTTTGTCAAAAGCTCTTTAAATTGACCAGTTTAATCATTAGAATGCGATATCTGAGTCACTTTTTTTGCACAGAGTTTTTTTCCTGAATCTCATATCCAAATTTATAATTATCAATAGAATACCTTAGGATGAATAAACTTTTTTCCTAGGTGGATGGGAAGAGGTCTTTATGTGAGTAAAATTAAAAATTATTTTAACCCCAAAAACAATAGACAAAAAATATTTTTAGTAAAAGAAATCAGGTGAGTCACTTTTATCAAACAGCACTGTACATATATAGATATATATATCTAACTACCGCCAAAGAAAAGCAATAGCCAAAGTTTAAAATAAATTTTTCAAAATGAAAAATCTTTTTTGAAGCTTGTATTTTAGTTTTAATTCCAAGCTAGTAGATTAAATTTAATATTTCCAATAAGCAAAGTACTTTGCTTATTTCTAAAACGAATTTAAATTGATTGGAATTATGATTTTTTTAAATCACTGAAAATGGCTGATTTTAGCCATTTTTAGCCATATTTACAAATCTATCAGCACAAAACCAATTCTCTTTATTAAAAATTTTCAAAAATAAAATGAATTTCTGAAACTTGAGGATGATTAAATTTAATTAATCTGATTTAAAACAATTACTTACTCTTAGTTGAAAATATCACAGAAAAGCATTTTTGGCATGAAGGTGAGTATTTTATGAGGTGTTGAAAACTATCTTGATAAACTTCTGTTTGGGAATTTTTTTCTACAGTGCACATATCTGTAAAAATTACTTGAATATAATGTCAGAACCTTTTTATGTAATTTTTTAATTACCCGGTAAACTTAAAAATTAAGGAAAATATGTAATATTTCATTGAATTTTAGGTACTTTACCTTTAAATTTACTATAGTTCCCACTTTTATTTGCTGATGATGTAGTATATGGACAGCCATATTTACGAAAATTTATATATAGATATACATAAACACACACACAAAAATTAAAAATTCTTTTTAAAATACTGGAGATCACTAAGATATTCCATTTATGATGAGTAAATATAGTTTTTCCTTAATAACAACATAATTTAACCACTATAAATTAATACAGAATTTTAAGATTGAAAACTTTATAAATTATTCTAATTAAAATTTTTAGAAAACAAAAAAAGATTTTTGCAACAATAGTTTTCATAATATATCTTATTTATAAAAGCAATTAAAAGCTTTTCTAATTCAATAATATCTTAGTTACATTGCATTTTTATTTTACTATGAAGAGCAGATTTTCTGTAAGTGGGGCTCCCATTTTACAAAAAAATTGGATTTAAATTCTCCAAGAATGTTTACTTATAATTAATATAACTATAAAAGGAATTTCTTGAAATTTCATAAATTTAAATAAAAGGGGTTAACAGATACAAAAAAAAATTTCAACCAAGATTTCCTAAGAAAAGGAAAAAAAAGAAACATTTTTAAAATAGTTTTATTCATTTGTGAATCAGTCTAAAACATTTCATTAAAATATGACCATTATCTGATTTTTGTAAGAATTTCCAAATCAATGTGTTTTTTACCAAAAAAAAATAAAATTTTCCTTACTAACATAAGATGAAAAAAAAAATTTTAACCAATATTTTGAAGGTTCTAAAAAGTACTAAGAAATAAAATAAAAAGTCTTTTGGTCTTTTGCCATGATAACAACATAAGATTTTAACAATAAAACTTTGTTTTTATTAAGTCTGGAGCATTTTTTCATTATGTATACTCATTTTTAGCAAATCTTTGGAGGTACCTACACACACATATATATATATATATATATATATATATATATATATATAAAAAGAGAAGAATCTCACAATACTCACAAAGAAGAATCCCACTTTTGATGATTTTTAAGGCATGTAGCTGTCAGTCACTATGTAGTGAAGATACCTATGTCCACACTGTTTATATCTACAAATGCTCTATCCCATATATTGAACAGTCTCCCCCCATAAATATAGCAATCTTTAAGCACACACACATCTCTCTCTCTCTCTCTCTCTCTATATATATATATATATATATATATATATATATATATATATATATAAAGAGAGAGAGAGAGTCCCTTGATACCTCCTCCTACTCCTCCTGATGAATGAACTGAACAATTACACAAAGGTTCATCTATGAAACTCTGGAATAGAAGTGCCGAATATAACATCAACCAGCTAAGTGACAAATTTAATATTTGTATTGATTTTATATATATATATATATATATATATATATATATATATTTTTTAAAACTATAACTCTGGTGGTGTGAAAAAAATGTAGATAATACAATTTGTAAATAAAAAAAATATTAGACAAACTAATAATTGGGAAAAAAAAATTCAATAAAAAAAGAAAAGACTAAAATCATCTGTACTGCTTGAAAAAAGAAATCAACCAGCACTGCAATGTCTAGCCAAAAGAAAAAAACACCAACAGAATATCTAAGTTGAACATAAAAGTACTCAATGCTATAGTTATGGGTAAAAGTGCTCAATATCAGAGTGACCTGATGTAAATATAAAAGTGTACACTGAGGTCAACACCAAAAGGTGATAGTCTGTTTCATACTTATAGCAATTTTCAGAATAGATAATATATTTATTTTTAATCTGACATTTATTACCATTTTAAATGTTATTTTTATGAGATACCTGTTTGAAATGGCCAATCTCCTCTACTCCATTTTTATTTAAAACAGTGTGCAGGCTGATCGATGTAATATTTACTGTTTAAAATAATAATGCGTCATCTATTTCAAATACAGGTATCTACTAAAAATATCATTTGAACTAATAAATAATATATATGATCTTATTACTGTGAATGTTACTTTAGTTGATAAATGTTTTTGACTAGACATTATTTATTTACAGTGAAATTAACACCTACCTGCTTAGATTGTTGAAAGTTCTATTAAAGAAAATGTACCTATTGGTAATAATTTTGATCCTCACAAATAAACACTCAATTTACAACTTTCTTTTTTAGAATGTTCAAAAACTTTTCAATAAGAAGCCCCTTTATGAAACCAGAGTCTTTGAAACCCTTTTAAATTGGTTCTTCATTATTTTTCTTTACTAAATGTAATAAAGTATTGCCATGTATACAAATCATCATCTTTCTGAAAGTGTGTGGATTCTTCTTGAACTATAGCTTCAAGTGTGCCTTCAAAACTCAATATATGGTTGAGCTATCATCTTAACACCACCTGGAACTCACAGTGAACCAACCAATTCACCAAATATCAATCTCTCCCAAAAACATTATACCAGTTCTGGCTTGTTAAGAATTCAACCTGTGAAGACAATTTCTGCCACTAGCAACCCAGCCGCTACTTTCTCCATCTCACTCACCAAGAGGAGTTGCTGAAAAGAACAGTTGAAACATCAGTTGTTTTTTTATGTACTCTGTTATCAATTTCATTTGATTTTCCTTATGGATGTCTTTTAAAAGAGACCTGCTGATGTCTATCTGGTCAGGATGTTTGATTTATGATCCAATATGATTTCTGAGACATTCTCATTGGCACATTGCTTTAAAATTTCCTAAATTGATGAAGATGGATTATTTATAATTTTTCTTTTGAGTCATCCAGGAACATCTATGTGCTTCTTAAGTTAGGTACCCGTCATTTTCAAAAGATTTTGAGGTTATTATTTTTTTTCTTAAACTTTTGCAAGCTCTGAAGTTATTA